ATATATATAAATAAATAACAATTCAACATAAGTGACAAATAGCTCTGGTGTCATCGCACCTTCATTAAATAAACTTCAGCTACCCACTCAAAGATAGCACTTCCTGTTTGCAATTTACATACACTGTATTTTATGATGTCATCTTTGGTCACTTTCAGCCCCACTAGGAAGTCACCTCATCTTTCCTAAAAGAACTCCACCTATGCGCATACATCAACCACACTGTGGCGCACCCCTGAGACTAATGCTACACCACAACATCCTGTTTCAGCAGAAAACACAGAAAAAAAAAAAGAAAAAACGGAAGCTCTCTTGTACTTGGAGCCTCTAAAGATTTGAATTTGCAGTGAGAAAAAAATTATAAAGGGCGGGTCTGAACATCTTTTCCTTTTGAAAATTAACAGTAACAGGAATATGTTTTTGACCAACCTTTAACATCCAGCTTTATTTTGTTGCTATGTCCTGTCGTTGTCACTTGACCCCTTTTGGCTTTGCAGGAATACGTCCCTTGATTGGAAAGACCCAGGTTGATGCTGATTGTATTGCCAGTGTTAGGAAGCTCCTTCTCATCTTTACACCACTGATAACTCCAGTCAGAAGAAACATCAACTTTGCAAGTGAACTTGACAGTTTCTCCAACATACATTGGATCAAAACCATAAATTCTGCTCAGTGAAGGTTTTGGTATGCTGTCTGAAAAAAACAAAACAACAACAACAACAACAACAAAAACAGTTCAGAAAATGTTATTACTACTCTTCAAAATAGTTTTTCAGACATATTCTGTCTCTTTTTGATACATTTACCTTGATGTAATATGTGATACATCACATCCTACTGAATATTAAATCAAATTTGGTCAAACTGACCTAAGCACATTTTCAGATTCCTATGCTTTAAGCTACATTTTGATACCGGTATCATCCTGATGTCACGAGCAGTCCATGAGATATACCTTAAATTGTCTTCCTAATCAGGAGAACTCATTGTTATTTGGTCTGAATCCTATTTTTAGGTTATTTTAATGAGGATTTTTAATGTCATTTTAAAGAAGAAACTTCAAACAATGTTTGGATATTAAGATAAAAAATAATCTTTAAAAAGCTTTGCTAGCTCTTAGAAAAATGACAAAATATTTTAAGCTTTTCTATTTAAAATCATGCTCTTTGTTGCTACTGCTCAAAAAGGTCTTCTTTAAGGTTATTTGTCAGATATTTCATTTAAACAACATATAGATAAGGTATTTATTCAATATAATTTAACAAAATGCAATAGCTGCAAACATTTTAATTAATGTACTTTAGCTGCATATTTCTCCACATACCACTTTGTGATGTAATCCTTTTTTTTTGATGGGATGAGTCACATATAGTGCAGAAGACTTGCTTAAATTTTATGGTGCTAATAATGCTTTAGTATACAAATACTTAGGACAGAAGCATAACTWTAAAACAAATAAACCTTTTGAATTAACAAGTTTACAAAGAAAAAGTCATTTAAAATGCCAACAAAACAGAACGAAATAAATGCTAGTAATCCTGTTAAGTAAAGGGATAAAAAACTCACCATAAACCTTCACATCAGTTGTGTTACTGAACCCAGAGATGACTCCTCTAGATTTAAGGTGAGCTTTACAGGCAAACCTTCCTTGATGGGATGTACTGACAGAAGTTATTTTGAGCACAGATCCCTTTTCATTCAGTTCCACAGCTGAGTCTTTCAGGAGCTCTTTTTCATCTTTGTACCAGGAGAAGGTCCACTCAGAGCTGCTCCCATAACAGTGAAGCTCCAAGTGCTCATTTGGAAATACATCCAACCAGGAACTCAGCAGATAAAGAACTGGTTTTGGTGGGTCTAAAAATACATAAAGACAGCTTTAAGTTAAAAACTGCATCATAAAAACAAAACAAAACTAACAAAACAAAAAAATCATACTGCTCGTCAGGACCAGTCCTAGCCGACCCTATACTCCGCCAGAAAATTTAGCAAAAGATCTCATCAAAACTACAGGTGCTGGTCATAAAATTAGAATATCATGAAAAAGTAGATTTATTTCAGTAATTCCATTTAAAAAGTGAAACTTGTATATTATATTCATACATTACATACAAACTCATATATTTCAAATGTTTATTTCGTTTAATTTTGATGATTACAAATGACAACAAATGAAAATCTCAAATTCAGCATATCAGAAAATTAGAATCTTGTGAAAAGGTTCAAAATGGATGGCACCTGGTACCACACTCTAATCAGCTAATTAACTCAAACCACCTGCAAAGGCCTTTAAATGGTCTTTCAGTCTAGTTCTATAGATGTGGTCGAAAAAAATGTACAAGCAAGAGAGATAACCGCACCCTGGAGAGGATTGTGAAACAAAACCCATTCAAAAATGTGGGGGAGATTCACAAAGAGTGGACTGCAGCTGGAGTGAGTGCTTCAAGAACCACCACACACAGACGTATGAAAGACATGGGTTTCTGCTGTCGCATTCCTTGTGTCAAGCCACTCTTGAACCACAGACAGCGTCAGAAGCGTCTTGCCTGGGCTACAGAGAAACAGGACTGGACTGCTGGTGAGTGGTCCAAAGTCATGTTCTCTGATGAAAGTAAATTTTGCATTTCCTTTGGAAATCAAGGTCCCAGAGTCTGGAGGAAAAGAAGAGAGGCACTTCATCCACGTTGCTTGAAGTCCAGTGTAACGTTTCCACAGTCAGTGATGGTTTGGGGTGCCATGTCATCTGCTGGTGTTGGTCCATTGTGTTTTCTGAGGTCCAGGGTCAACGCAGCCACATACCAGGAAGTTTTAGAGCACTTCATGCTTCCTGCTGCTGACCAACTTTTTGGAGATGCAGATTTCATTTTCCAACAGGACTTGGCACCTGCACACAGTGCCAAAGCTACCAGTACCTGGTTGAAGGACCATGGTATCCCTGTTCTTAATTGGCCAGCAAACTCTCCTGACCTTAACCCCATAGAAAATCTATGGGGTATTGTGAAGAAGAAGATGCAATACACCAGACCCAACAATTCAGAAGAGCTAAAAGCCACTATTAGAGCAACCTGGGCTATCATAACACCTGAGCAGTGCCACAGACTGATCGACTCCATGCCACGCCGCATTGCTGCAGTAATACAGGCCAAAGGAGCCCCAACTAAATACTGAGTGCTGTACATGCTCATACTTTTCATGTTCATACTTTTCAGTTGGCCAACATTTCTATAAATCCTTTGTTTTTATTGGTCTTCAGTAATATTCTAATTTTCTGATATGCTGAATTTGAGATTTTCATTTGTTGTCATTTGTAATCATCAAAATTAAACGAAATAAACATTTGAAATATATGAGTTTGTATGTAATGTATGAATATAATATACAAGTTTCACTTTTTAAATGGAATTACTGAAATAAATCTACTTTTTCATGATATTCTAATTTTATGACCAGCACCTGTATGCATTTTCTAGCCACATTAAGAACTTTTTTTATCATCATAAGCTAAACTTCCATTATCCTTATTAGGGATGGGTACCTTTGACATTTGAATCTGTACCAATATACGGTACCTGGGAATCGGTTTCGGTACTTAACGGTACCAATTTTCAGTACTTTGTGTGTGTTGTTTTTTTAATAATAAACTTTTTTCTAATTTTTTTTAACATATTTCTCAAAAATTTAACAAATATCAAGACAACATCCAACTCTTTGTATTGTAACATCAGTTGTTTAACAAATTTCTTTAAAGTGAAAACTCTTGAAAACAACAAGACTGTTTTGGCTTATTACACAAATTAAAATCCAGCTCCACATGTTTCTATTGATGTCATTTCCCTGCTAAAAAAAATTGTGTGATGGGAGTCCATGGAACGCAAATAAGTTTAAATCAAATAAGCAAAAGCCGCTGGAGTTAAATAAATAAAAGGTATTCAAGCTACATTTTGAGCGTCCAAAACGCGCCCAATGCTTCAAGTTGGCTGTTTGTGCTCTTTCAGGTCAGACACGTTCGGACTGTTGGGAAGCATCTCTATTGTTTTCCTCTGCCGGTCTCTGTTTAATGGCAGATGAAATAAAGAAATTTGCTGTACTTTATTTACTTGGAGCAAGCGAACATTGTGCTCACAAGATAATTAATCCACCAGGTAATTCAGGGGCAGTCTGTTCGGTGAGTTTCACTCCAGGAGCTGCAAAGTTCGCTTTCAAGCTATTCCGAACTCTACTGAACCAGCGGCTGCTGACGTTATTACGCTCTTGCGCGATGCTGCGTTCAGGACAAGCAAGGAAAACTCACCACCCTTAAGCCAATACGGTCGCAATGATGCGTTTAAGTACCAAAACATGGTACAGTTTGATGTTACGTGTAGTACCAACAAAATTTGGTCGTACTTATAAAAGTATCAAATTCTGAACCCATCCCTAATCCTTATGTTTTGTACTTACACACTGAGCACCAGTAGTTAGTCTTTTTTGCATCATATGATACTTTTTGCACCCCCACCCCAGGTGTGGCAACCCCTAAATGAACAGCACCCTTTGCATTTGCCTATACAACCTATGCCTCAGGCTGACCTTACTGCTTGTAAATTGTGATCTTAATTAGTGATGCAAAAACGTGCTTACCAGAAACCCGAAGACTGGTAGAAACACTCTGATCTGTGAAGAATGGGCCTCTCTTGGCTTTACAGTAGTACTCTCCACTGTTAGAAAGATCTATAGAAGGTAAACTGTAAGTACTGCTGGGTGATTGGATTTTGATTCCATTATGGTACCACATATATTCCCATCCAGAGGACTCATCAACTCTACACATGAAGTTGATCGCTTCTCCAGGATACATATTGTCAAAGTTTGAACTCCGTGTCAGAGTGGGCTTTGCCTTGGTTGCTATTTAAAATATGGAAAAGGGAACAATTTAACAACAAAGCATATAAAACTCTTCTCAGATAGCATAACAAAAACACTATAAAAAGAACTAACACTGTCTTATGTCTGTATTCCAATTACCCAACAGACATTTGTCATTACAATAAAAGATATACAGTACATGTACAGTATTTTCATGCTGTATTCAAAGACAACATCATGAGCAATAACCACTGTATCACTAGATCTTTACAGTATGTATATAAAGCTAAGTTAATTTATTCCTTATACAGTCAATTCAAACTTTGGATGGTTATAAAAGGTAGTCTTACTGTAATGAACATTTTTACATTAAATAATTATGTTTACATTGTAGTTTTAATAACATACAAATGTTATATTAGTAAGATGGCTGAAAGAAATGGGATTTTACATGTGAATAACTTGAACAGTTTATTCTTCTTTACAAGATTTTTTTTTCTTTTTGGTATAATAAAAAAAAAACAGAAAAAAACAACCTTCCACATATAACGACTAAATAAATCCTAAGAAACATTTATCTTTTAAACATTTACCGTAGTCTGAGTCATGCTAAACCCAATTTGGGTAAGTATTTAAGCTCACTTCTGTTTTCTGTTTTATTTTATTTTTAGACCATATTTTTAATTTATTTCTAAGGTTGAGTTTTTTAAGTTCATATATTTACTGAAGTATTTTATGTTAATTTTTTAAATTAAAACCTATACAAAACTGCAAAATAAATGAACACAATACTTGATGATGAAGTACCATGCATTTATACTACACGCAGATTCATACTGCTTGTGCTGCTTTATGACCTAAAAGCTAAAACATGTGCTTACCTGAAACCTGAAGACTGGTAGAAACACTCTGATCTGTGAAGAATGGGCCTCTCTTGGCTTTACAGTAGTACTCTCCACTGTTAGAAAGATCTATAGAAGGTAAACTGTAAGTACTGCTGGGTGATTGGATTTYGATTCCATTATGGTACCACATATATTCCCATCCAGAGGACTCATCAACTCTACACATGAAGTTGATCGCTTCTCCAGGATACATCTTGCCAAACTTTGAACTCCGTATCAGAGTGGGCTTTGCCTTGGTTGCTATTTAAAACAAACGTGGAAAAGGGGACCATTTAACAAGAGAACATTCAAAACTCCTCACAGACAGCACAACAAAAACACTATAAAAAAGAACTAACACTCTCTTATGTTTATCTGTGCTCCAAATATGATTCCACCTAACAGACATTTGGCATTGAGATAAAATATATATTTTATACTATACTCAAAGACAACAAAATATATCATGACCAATAACCGACATGGGAACCATGTTATTCAAGCTTTGAAGTGTGCACCATTCAGCGAAGAAAAGACCATCAAGCTACTGACTGGCTTCAGAACCTCACCTGATCGGGTAGTAATTTCGGCCTATGTTACTGTTTTTCATCAGTGGACTAAAGACATTAGTGCTAAAGGTACGGACATAACAGACTCTGTTTTAACCAGTCGGAAACAACATTTAAGACTTCTGTTTAATATTATTTTAGTCATTGGAAATATTGAACTTAATCCAGGTCCAGATAAAAATGTATTTATGTCCACTTTTTTAAATTTTATGGGATTTTTTACATATGTATTTAATGATTATCTTGACCTGGGTTTGTGCACAGGTGTATCTTATATAAATCCAACTCAATTACAGTCTACACAGGGATCTATATTATATCCTGAAAAGGTTAGACAACCTCCTGTTATGTCAAGTCTGAACACATCAGTAAGAAAGCAAAAGCAATTTTCCTGTCTAAAAATAAATAAAAAATCCAGGGACGCTAAATCAACTAGGTAAAATTAGAGGCTTTAAAATCTGTCATTTAAATATGAKAAGTCTTGTACCTMAACTGGATGAATTCAAAGTAATACTTGCTCAGACACAAGCACATGTTATGGCTATATCAGAATCATGGCTCCTGCTATACCAAATTCATTTCTTTCAGTTGAAACTTATTCATTGTATCGTAGAGACCGTACTGATAGGCTTGGAGGTGGTGTTGCAGTTTATGTTCACAAGAAATACTC